TGGGCGATCCTTCCGCCTCAGCCTTCCAAGTAGCTGGAACTACAGGCGCACGCTACCACACCCGGATAATTTTTTTTTTTTTTTTTTTTTTTTTTACTGTAGAAATGAGGTCTCGCCAAGTTGTCCAGGCAGGTCTCGAATCCCCGGTCTCAGGCAATCCACTCACCTCAGCCTCCCAAAGCGCGGGATTATAGGCTGAGCCACCGAGCCCGGCTTACTTTTTTTTTTAATAGAGAAGTTCTAGACTTCAAAAATCCAACAGCGGATCCTTTTGTGTAGAAGGAGGAGGGAAAGGAGAAGTCTTCCCTTCAAATACTGAGTGATCGCAAATGATCTACTCAGGTGTGTTATACTCCATAGCAAAGCCCTCAAATCCTTGTTGCAAAGCTCTGCCTTCCTTTACTTCAGGAAACACCTCGTTTTATTCATGGATTTTATGAACTGCCCAAACATGCTGATGAATATCAGCAACTTCTTTCATTTGAATTTCTCATGTTTGTACAGTGAATAGGCTTTCCAGAAACAACACAAGAATACTGCAATATAAAGAAAATTAATTGATAAAAAAAAATCTGCATGGGATCTTGATATTAAAGAAAACTCTGAAATGAAAAAAAAAAAAAAGAAACTTAAAATTTGGCCAAGATAAACAAGTAATCAACTAAAAACTGCCATAGTCCAGACATAAACACAAAATGTCTGTATCGCCAGGTGTAGTGGTTCATGCCTATGATCCCAGCACTTTGGGAGCCGGAGGCGAGAGGACTGCCTGAGCCCGGGAGTTCAAAACCAGCCTGGGCAACTTGGAGAGACCTTGTCTCTTTAAAAAAATGTTTGTATCTTTCCTAACATGACAAAGCTCCCATCTAATATCAAAATCAATTCTTATACTAGATGAATTTACTAGTATATGAGTCAATATACTAGATTTACTTATCTCTTCTACCTTAACTGCAAATATATTAAGCAATCATTTCTTCAACAGTTTTTTTTTTCCCCTAGTGGTGGCATTTAAAACTGAGTAACAGTATTTAGCACTAAGTAATTTAGAAAATATAAAAAGGCTTTTGGAAATAGCAACAGTTGATTCATTATTCATATGTCATTTGATCGAGTGAATCCTCCTTTTGGGGATACTGGTGAAGAGAACATTTTTCTTGTCTAAGTCACTGCTGCCTGGTCTCAACCACCAACAGGCAATTCTCAAGTTTTACGCGGGCCCAGATTCTCTAGGCAGAACTCGAGCTGCCCACACACAGCATGGCTGCTCTGTGGGATCTCTTTCTGCAGGGAGCGCCATGCCTCTCTTTCATGTTCCCATACGGGTACAGGAAAGATCCACTTCTAAAGCCAAATGATTTCTTGGCATTGTGTAACTCCTGTTTCCCACCCAGCACTCCCACCCCAGTTTGCCAGATCCAAACCCAACAGTGACAAAAGTCTTGAAGATTCTCCTCCCAGGAAGTCTGCAGGCCGCCTGTTTCTTTCCATCATGAACCTCAGTTTGAAGAGATCCTGGTGAGGGGCTGAAGAACAAACAGGGCGGCAGGTGTCTAAGCAGGAGGTATGTGACCTTGTCATCAAGGGATGTGATTTAC